CATCTGCAAACTGACTGAGGGAGCACTCGATTCCCTCATCCAGGTCTTTGATAAAGATGTTAAACAGGACAGGCCCTAGAAATTAAGGTGTTCTCCCAGTTTAGGACATGCTTCAAGGGAACCTTATCCATTAGTTTTTGTTTTACAGTGAAGTCACTTTTCATTTACTGCCTTTTTCTGTTATGGTCACAGGCACATCAGTGGGATGTTGCTCAGGTGAATCAACCTAAACTCTGTGGCTCACAGTGTGCACTCTTCTGTGTTGAGAAGTCATTTTTGGGTGCTTCTTTCCTCAGGCTCTTGATCCAGGCTGGGTTTAATCTGAACGTGCAGGACAACGACGGCTGGACCCCGCTCCATGCTGCTGCGCACTGGGGGGTGAAGGAAGCCTGCTCCATCCTGGCCGAGGCGCTGTGCGACATGGACATCAGGAACAAGCTGGTCAGTAAGCACGGCACAACACCATGTGTTTCATAAATTTATTGTCTACCACTCGGTCCAGTGAGGTAGCAAAGTGACATGGCCAGCAGTTCTGCAGTGGAGCATTTAAAAGCATCAGAAAATGAAGAATCTTGACTGGAGGAAGGCAGAAAATGTGTCACGTATTACTGGAAAAGATCAGGGATCAAACTTCCAACAAGATCAGAAGAAACCATGGGGGCTAATCTGTGTCTTCCTGTTTTAGAGTAATCCTGACAGATTGAACAGCAGCCAAAAATACAGGAGTGCAAAATAATATGCTAATATTAAGGTGTAAGGCACTGAGAACTAGTGAACCCTTCGGAAACTGGCAGCTTGAAACCCTTCCTGTTCTACTAGATGGGTCATAAAAAGGGACCTTGAAAAATTGACTCAGATTTCTGAGAAATTGCTTAAAAAATACAGGATGGAAGGAAAAAAAGGAGAAAAAATATAAGAAAAAAAATCCTCTTCCATCCTAAGAGTCAGAAGTTTTTATCTGCAGAGCCCCTGGGTTTTCAGGAGCTGTTGTGTGCGTGGCCAGCGTCGCTCTGGGTGTTCCCATCCCTGCTGGGTGTGGGTTTGGATTGTGTGAGACCTGAAAATCAACAGACACCGGTGTGTTTGCTGCGTTACTGTCTCCCTCCTGTCAGGGGTTGTTACCTTGGCCAAGGCAACCTGTATTTATCTGATCCTTAGCCATCAGGTTTCATTCTGTGTTGTTAATAAATGGCTATTACAGCTTTAGCTAGGGTGAAAATGTAACTGATTTCTTGGTTTTTGTGCCCCAAAGTATTTTTTCTGGTTTGTTTGATTTTGTAAATGCCTCTGGATGTGGGCAAAACCCTCAATTTTTTGGGCTGCTGATGACTGGCAGCTCTTCAGGAGGTTCAGATACACGGAATGCAGTAGAACAGGTTGATCCATTTCTTCTCAGGACACGAGTGTCCTTTTTGGAAACCTGGCAACTTGAATGCATTGGTTTTGGCTGTCAGATCTGAGCAGCAGCGACCAGGAGCTGCATTTCATAGCATCACAGAATCACAGCATGGTTTGGGTTGAAGGGACCTCACAGCCCCCCAGTCCAACCCCCATGGGCAGGGACACCTCCACCAGCCCAGGCTGCTCCCAGCCCCGTCCAACCTGGCCTTGGGCACTGCCAGGGAGGGGGCACCCACAGCTTCTCTGGGCAACCTGGGCCAGGGCCTCCCCACCTCCCAGGGAAGGATTTCTGCCCAATATCCAGTCTAAATCTCCCCTCTTTTTCAGTTTAAAACCATTCCCCCTCGTCCTGTCACTCCCTGCCTCTGTAAGAAGTCCCTTCTGAGCTTCTCTGTAGGCCCATCAGGTCCTGGCAGGTGCTCTAAGGTCCCCCCAGAGCCTTCTCTTCTCCAGGCTGAACAACCCCAGCTCTCTCAGCTGTCCCCATAGCAGAGCTGCTCCAGCCCCTGATCATGGTTAAGGTTGCTCTGACCATGGATTGAGTCAGAAAACTGCCACCGCTGCCACATGGATTTCCCTGCTCTGGAGTGAAACAGGTTTCATTACTCAGTGTCTGGGGAGTGAGGATGTGGAGCGTGTTCACTTCTGTTCTTCACTGGTTAATAGTGCTTTTCTGAATATTAACACCATTCCTAGCACATACCCTCTTGTCTTTTATCACATCAGGGCCAGACACCGTTCGATGTGGCCGACGAGGGCCTGGTTGAGCATTTGGAAATGCTGCAGAAGAAGCAGACTGTGGTGAGTTCCCGCGGATCATTTCCCAGTCACCTTTCCACACACGTTGTTCCCCAGGACATATGGCACCAACTGGCGCAGGGAGCTGAGGCCCAGCTGTTTAATTTTATGTTAGTCATTTGGAGTCATTAATTACACCACTATTTTTAATAGCTAGAAATCGAGAGAACTGACTGACTGCGACTAGAAGGTCAGTAGCATGACAATTGTTTCATACAATGGGGGGACATTTGATTGAGTGAGAAGAAATTACATATAAACTTCAAGAGATTCTAGTCTAAAGGAATCGATTTCAGAACTGTTAAATTGCCGTTTCATAATGCAGTGGAGATATTGGAAGGGGTTGTAAACAGAAAGTTGGTGTTCAAAGGAAAGCAAAAATGTATTTTCATCAAGCTAAAGCCAGTCGTCAAGCCAGGGAGTTGCATTTTTTTCCTGTTTCATCTGGTCTACTCAATTATCTCATTTGGGTGCTTCCAAACAACAAACCAACCTTCTTTAAAAATAATCATACAGAACAGTGAGTGCAATTTAAAACGCTGGGTTCAGAAACAGACATAATGAGAGCACTGCTGATAAAACCCAGCGTTTTGAGGAGGTGACAATGTGGGTGGCAGATCTGGAGCTCTGATCACAACACAGCTGCTGCCATCCTCAAATAGCATCCTAACATCCACAGCCACTTCAGAAATTCATCAGCTTCTCCCTCAATGAGGTGGTGATAAATACTACCAGGGTTGTAGTTTGGATTTCCTCCTATCCCACCACAGCAGGATCCTGCAGATAACTGCTGCTCGGAAGAAAAGAAAAAGGAGAAGAAATGCAATGTCAAGAAATTATTTTGGATGGGTGCAGGCTCGTTTTTAGGCTTTGCAGGGACCAGCAGCCCCCTTGTTCTCTCTACAGCAGCACTATAAAAAAGCCTTCTCCATTTATTAAATGAGTGTAGCGAGCTATAGCAGAACTGGGAAAAATAGAAGAATCCAGATTTTATCACACTTTTTTTTGTAGCGGAGATGGGGTTTTTTAATAGAAATGCCTTTTTGTCATGTGTGTTCATCATGTGCCTTTTTTAGCACCTAAAATAGAAAACTTGCATTCGTTAAGGATGCAATGGGCAGTTGCAGGACATTGCTCTAAGTGCATCATTTCACTTTCAGAACGGCTCCTAAATCAAGTTTTTTAATCTAAAGCTTAAATTCAAAATACACAGCAGAGCAGCGTGCCATCCTTGCCAAGAGATCTGCTGCTGTTACTGAAGAGAAGGGGACATTTGGGCTATACCCCAAATTTTGGCTCTTGGCTGAGCTCTGTGTAGCTTTTCCCACATTCACAGTTTTCAGAGCTTTTGCTTTCTGTGCCTGGTGTCAGCTTCTGCTGTGAATAAAGGAGTAACCAGGGTAGGTGTGACCCAAAAGAGATGGCCTTGAAAGTGAGCCTCTCATTGCAGTCCCTTTTTGCAGCTCAGCTGTGTCTGTGCTTTGGGAAGGTATGAAACCATTTTTTGGTCACTGTTTTGTCCATTAGTGGTGGCAAGATTCATATTGCTCCTCTCTGAGTGAAATATTTTCCTTGCTGTGGTGATCACAGGTATTTTTGTGCCATGACTACAGAGGCAGCACGTTTTAAACTGAATTTGGCCTGGTTTTATGGGCATACAGACACACGTGGACAGCCCTGCAGTGCTGTGTCTGCATGGGGAGATGCTGGGCAGTGCCATGAAGTTGGGATTTGATGCTGGGTCTCAGCAGAGGCTGCTGCAGCCTCCTCTGAAGGTTTTATTAAACTGCACCTTGAGTCTCAGGATGTAGGGGCTGTAGCTGTGTCCTTATGGAGCTCCTGTCCAGACATCCATGAAATCTGGGGAAGAGCTGTTCACTGGGGCATGGAGCAATAGGATGAGGGATGATAGTTTTAAACTGGAAAAGAGCAGATTTAGGTTGGATATGAGGAAAAAGCTCTTCCCCATGAGGTGGTCGATCACTGGCACAGGTTGCCCAGAGGTGGTGCAGGCCCCATCCCTGGAGATGTTCAAGGCCAGGCTTGCTGGGGCTGTGAGCAACCTGATGTGGTTCAAGATGTCCCTGCTCCCTGCAGGGTTGGGCTGGAGGAGCTGTGAAGGTCCCTTCCAACCCAGCACTTTCTGTGGTTCTATGACTATTGCAGATCTGCATCTGTTGAATTGGCTTGTTAAGCAAATCCACGTTAGTCCTCACCTAGCGAGGCTGGGATGACCTCACGCTGTAGGAATTACCAGGTTGTGCTGAGCTGGTTTGCTAAGATGTGTCTCTTCATTCTTTCTCCGATCTGCTTGGACTTTCTGACAGTTGCGAAGTGAGAAGGAGACGAGGAATAAGCTGATTGAAGCTGACATGAACGGCAAGCCTCAGAGCGGACTCTTCACCAAGTACGTGACTTTCCCCTTGGCTGCACAGAGTGTAATGGGAGAGCGGCTTCACCTGGTCAGTCAGCTGGCCTCAGCTGCTTGAAAAATTGTACTGCTGTTCGTGTCCATTTCATGGTCTCTTTTAAATAATCTCTTAAATACCATTTTAGCTGTTTCTTGCCTTACTCACTGAACGGTAGAACAAGGAGTTGGGCTGCGGTTGGTCCTCAACTCCTACTCTTGCTGGGTATCGATGTGACCTTTAGGGTGAGAACTGCCTCTCTGCAGTTGCATGGGGCCATACAGCTCAGCCCATGGGTTGTGTTGCACGAGGAAAAGAGGCACCACATGTTTTTGGGCTCTGAAATGCTTGCAAATTTAGGAAATGTGAGCCTGGCGTTGGAATCCATGGCAAATGGGAAGTGCTGGGATGTTGAGTGTGTAGATGGATTTTGTCCTTTTGCTTGTTCTATTTGTAGCAAATCGCAGTGTTCCTGAGAAGTACAACTCAGAAATAACTTGCTCGCCTCGTAGTCCTTAAAATGTCTCTATCTTGCAGCAAAGAGAAGATTCTGTATGAGGAAGACACACTGAAGTCCATGGAAATGGAGGAAGAGAACAAGGACTCCAGCAGTTCCAGTTCTGAGGAAGAGGAAGAAGCTGAAGAAGATGAAGTTTCAGAATCAGATGCTGAAAAGGAGTCAGGTAAGACTCAGGACAGACTTGGGTGTGATAATCAGCTTAGCAATATTGGTTTGAGAGCTGGGGTTTTTTTAATTACTGGTTTTCTTTAGTTGTCAGACATCCTGAAAGCCTTTCTTCCAGTGTAAACCTATAGGATATGGACACCTCTGTAGCTGGTGTATTAAAAATCTGATCTAAGTGCTGGCAAGCAAGTCAGCATAACTTTTTCCAAATTTATTCCAGTATTTTAATTTCTGCTTCCAGTTCACTTGAATGTAGGGTAACATTGGTCACAGGTTGTTCTGGAACAGTAGGGTTTCTTCTCGTTGGCTGATTTTGGGATGACTTCTGTAGTTACTGCAAGGTGGAAGAAAAGCAGCTGAACAAGTAGGAGAGTCATAGCCTGTTGTACTTGGATCAGAGAAATGAAGTGAAGTGAAGGGCTGAAGCTGTTCTGTGTAATTATAGCGATGAGGAGCTTCATTCTGACTGGTGTAGAATAATTGCAGAACGCAGTGGAAAATAAGGATTAAATACCTCGAGTCACGTTAGCCTTTGCATTATAGCTTATTGCTGGCATCCTGCTCTCTTTATTTCAGTCTCATTCTTTTTCCATCATTTCTAAGACTTCCTTAATTAGTTTAAACAGACAGCACAGAAAGTTTAAATAAAGATCCCTCATTTTACAGTAAGCCAAGATCTACTCACACTCAATATTTCTGCAAAGAGAGATGGATCTCCGGCTATGATTTGCTTAATGCTTAAACTGCTTTTAACATCAGCGTGCTTGGCCTGTGTCCTGTTACACCAATGAAGAGAAGCACATTGAAAGTTTTGTCCTGCTTCTTGTGCCATTGAAATTGTCACCAGGGCCCTAATTGTGTCGGTTACGATGTTTGTCGCAGTGTGAGAGGTGTTGGGAATGGGCTGGCCTTTGTGAAGTTACAGAAGCTATGACAGCAACACCGTGAAATACTCTTTTGGCCTTTAAAACAAGCAAATGTAGTGGAGAAGTCAGTGGAAGTCCCATTTATTTGCTCCATAAATCAAGGTTTTACACAGCAGCCGTGTAGAGCTGTGCACCAATTCCTGTGAACGCAGTAGGAGCTTGACCACAACACCTCTGACGTGTGCATCGCCATCAGAGAAGGAGCCACGAGGTGTTTAACTGGTTCAGGAACAGCACGAAAGCCTTCAGCAAGGGAAGTGCTGCAGCACGTGGCACTAAATTCTGTGTCAGCCCAGAGCAGGTCTTTTAACTGAGTTTATTCACAGAGCAAAGCTCATTGTGCTCATCTCTTTCAAGCCACTACAGCTAAAACAAATTGAAGACAAAAAGCATTCAAGTCATGATGAAGCACCAAGCTTCAGGCTTTTTGTTGCCCGTGCTCTCCTTTCCTAGAGGGATTGTCAGCACCTTTGAGAAATTTCAGTCTGAGTTGAGGCCTTACCTCGTAAACTTCTCAGATCTCTAATGAAACGAACGTGGACTTGTCTGGCTGGGTGCACACGTAGCTGTCAGTCAGCGTGTAAGTGAATTGAAATTGTTTCTCTTTAAAACAAGGTTCATGCGATAACGGCACCAGCCCACGTGTTATAGGAGGACTCAGCAGTAGGTGTGCACGTAGACAGTTACAAATGTCACAGTATTACTGTGCCCAAAGACAGTCTTTAGAACAACGATGCTTTATTATCCCCTAGACATTTTAAAAGCTTGCAGGAATACAGGAAATTTTTGAGACTATTTTTGAAAACATGGGAATTATTTCCCTTTTCCTCTTCGTTTTCTTCTGAGCTGTAACACTCGCGTAGCTTTGCAATTCCGAGCAGTGCCGGGCTGAGCGTAAGGGAGGACGAAGTAGAAGCTGGAAATATAATACAGAAGTTTATTTTGAGGTATGATTTGAAAGGTCTCAGGTTGCGATAAATTTTTGGAATTTGCAGAGTCTGTGGGAGGAGAAGAAATTCGAAGAGGAGAGCAGGGAAATTGCTGGAGTGCCTCAGAGCACCGTCCTTGCAGTCTAAGAAATCTGTGTTATTTAAGTGAAGGAGAAGTGAAGTGCGTTAATGCCATTTTAGTAATCTCGAGGACTATTAGCAATTTAGCATTGGGTTGTATTATTAACAAGAGGGAGAGCACTATGAAATCTTGTGGTCATTATCTGTGCTGGTAACAACTACCATGGGTAATTATTGTGAATTAAAGCAGGCCAGGGAAACTTTCAATGTTTAAAAAATCCCCAAACCAAACCGAACAAGAACACACCCAAAAAACCCTTAAGAAAAATGACATTTATGCCAAATTAGAGAATGACGTTTTCACAGCATCCCAGGATGACAGGAGTTGGCAGGGCCCTCTGGAGATCCCCCAGTGCAACCCCCCAGAGCAGGATCACCAGAGCAGTCACACAGGAACACGGCCAGGGCTTTGGGTGTCTGCAGACAAGGAGACTCCACAACCTCTCTGGGCAGCCTGGGCCATGCTCTGCCACCCTCACACTGACAAAGTTTGTCCTCATGTTCACATGAACCTCCTGTGCTCCAGCTTGGGACCATTGCCCCTTGTCCTGTCATGGACATCCCAGAGCAGAGCCTGGCTGCACACAAGGTTGGAAGTTAAGACTATAACAAGTTTAATGAGTTTAAGTAGTCACATGGAAAACGCGAGGGGTAATGGACACAAGTTGTTCTGAGGAGTTTCTGATTGAACTCCAGGAGAAATTTGTTTCCCATGAGATCAATGAGACACTGGAACAATCTCCAGGGGAAGTGGTGGATTCCCCTACACTGGGCAGTTTGAAGAGTCAGCTTGGCAGGGCGCTGACCCATCTCATTTAAACGACACTTTTACCTTGGGAGGTTGGACTGGAGGATCCTTGTGGACCCATCCACCCTGGGATTCTGTGATTCTGTGATTAATGAAAACAACAGGGGGAAGGAAAAAGGGACAGGTGATAATTAACTATATACAAAACCCGATCCCAGTAGTCCTGAGTAGATGTGGCTGAGCCATCCCTTGTGACTGCTGGGATCTCACCAGGGACCACAGTGGTGCCAGGGAGCGAATGGTGGTGGATGCTGCTGAGCACGGGGAGGTAGGCCCAGCCATCCTGAGATGTAGGCCCAGCCATCCTGAGATGTAGGCCCAGCCGTCCCGAGATGTAGGCCCAGCCGTCC